TTCACCTGTATGATCAAAACTGGATCAACAGTGCCACATTCACAGTTAAGAACAAAAGAAAGGGGCAAAAAATTAGCAGAAAGCAAACAGCATGACCCAAAAATTGTACATATATCACTTCTGCTCAAATGCTATTGGCTAGAATTTCACCACATGACCTCACCATGGCGAGTGAGATGGAGAAGTATAGCCTCTATTAGGCAGTCTATTCACACTTGAGGGGTACTATTACTTGAAGGAAGAAGAAAGCATGTATATTGAAGCCCTATCACAGTCTGTCCCACTGGCAGTGCAATTATCTCTGCACACACTTCTTCCCACAGAGAACACATTCACCTCCTTCAAAGTCCCCATAAGTTCATGCATCCAGCTCAATCCAGGATCTCTGGGTCACTTGCAATTTTGTGCATGTGGATATGACTTCTCCTAACATGGCTACTTACCACACAGCAGAATTCTGGTTACTTTCTCTGTACTATTCCCAACGTTGCCCAAATAATTACTATACAAGGTAGTGTATTCTGAATGACCCCAACAAAAACTGCCAATTGAAAAAAGAGAATGGGATTTACAGCACAATCAATGGTCCATGGTATTTATCACAATCCATCAGGCAAGAAATACAAAGACCTTGTAGCCTTTGCCTAAAGTAAGCCTCTTGGTTCGTCCATCCATCCTACTGCTTCTGGCAGTGCTCTGTAGTGGGAACTCTCTTGCCAATAACGCTTTCTGACACATCTGAAGGGTGTACTTGGGCTAAAAAGCTTTCATCATATGCTGTTTTGGTTGCAGATATATGGCCCACCAATGCTTTAGGGTTTCCAACAATTAAAGATTTCTGCAGACTAGGCCTGTGGTTTCTTTGATATGAAAACATCATCAACAACAGTTGGCTTCTCAGTATTTTTCTCTAGTGTGTTTCTTGTGCAAGCAATCCTACTTCTGTGATTTAATCTAGAAATCATTCTTAAGTCCAACATCTTTTATATTTTTACCAGGTTGTGAATTTAGCCCATTCTTCTCTCTCTCATTTTAAAGGTGGCTTACTTGACAACACTGCTAAAAACAGAAAAAATGATGTTCTAATAGGAGTGAACATTACCCATTTTCTACTTGTTCATCTGTTCCTGAAGCAGAGGTTGCAAGTTGCCCACCAGAGCTCTGTCCTTCCATCCCATTGTGAAATTTTGCTTTTATAACAACTGCCTAGCCAGGGACTTTCTCAGGCCTCCTTTGCATCTTCATAGGACCAGTAGGGTATGAGTGAAAGTGATACGTGTCACTTCAAGCCTGCAGTTGTTATGACTTGGTGTGCCTTCTCCACCTGCCTCCTGCCCTAGCAGCTGCATGGCAGTGCCCTGGGTGACCCTAGAAACCAAGTCAAAAAGGCAAAAGTCCCACCAGCTATAGGTCTTTGAATTCCTGCTCGGAACAGAATCTATGCCCCTGTGGCTAATAATGTCTTCCTCAGACTCATATGAGTGAGAAAGTAACTTCACTATCCTAAAAAACCAGAAAATTTGGTATTGTTCTACTTACTTTGCATTACCATAACTAATATAGAACTGTCTTTCTATATTTAGGGTATTTCCCAGGTTACACATTTTACTGGGGAAGAGAGACTGTCTCCTAACTAAAAATCTGAAGAAGCTGGTTACTTGCTTTTCTAGATTCTGTGGCTCCTGGGTGTGGGTCCATAATCCACACTCTGTTGATGAGATTCACCCTGGACCTTGATGTAGGAGGCTTGCTGTGAGTGAGGGACTGGGCAGAATCCATTCTGGGATTGTATTATAGTAGTTGGGCAGCAACATGCCGATGCCTGAAAATCTTGTGAGCTATGTAATACACATTTATTGAATGTATTCTTTAAAAATACCCACATTCATTATCTTGGCTTGTAATTCAGACCGATGACTAAGACTCTGTAGAAGGTGACTGAAAACACCAAAAATAATGATCGACATGACACCATTTAGATCCAGACACTAGGACCAGGGTTGTCTGTTAAAGGCATTTTTTAAGTGCATGAAGTTCACTTTTACTTTGTTTTCATATGAATAAAAATGTGAAGTCTTTAGAATAAGAAAAATGCATTCGAGCTTGTTAATTGGAAATGAAATTAGCTGTCATTTGAAATGGTGTTTCTACCAAGAGAATCAGCCCTCAATGCATCATTATATGCTGGATTATTTCCTAGCAGCTGAAATGAAAAACAGATACTCTCCTATTATTTTCAGATCATGTTAACTAGAACATGGCTTTATAATCTGCATACTTCCTCAAGAATATTTCTCTAACACATATTTCAATATTCTGACTTAATGTATGGGCAAACACGTTTTTAAATCAGTGGTTCGATAACTGACAAAGAACACCTTAAATATTGTGTGAAGTAGAATTGTAATTCAGTAAATTTAATCAAAGATATACCCACAATTTATTTTTGATTGGGGAAACATTCTTGATAAATGATTATTATCACCCTTAACGTTGGCATTCAGAAATGAGATACCCACATTGTAGGCTGTCACTTTCACTTCTTTCTTCTGTCATCCCAAAATCTTATTAGAAAGCAAAAGGAACATCTAAACTATACAACATTTCAATTTTTGCAGGGATTTAAGAAGCCCCCATTTCCTCTCACAACATATAGTTTTCATTATGCATCATTATGAAACTGATCATTTCAGGGAATTGCAGCATATGTTTATTTTCCTTTTTACTATTTGACCTCTCACAATTCTGAACCTATATAAATAATGTGCCACTTAAATGTCACAATGAGATGTTTACAATAAATTAATTAGTAATATCAGAAAAGAAAGTACATTGTTTAATTTTACAATAATATAAATATAAATATCTTAAGTATAATCAAGGGATATTTCCTAGTAGTAAATATTTCAAAAGACTTCTAAGAGATTATTAATGTTTTTTAAAAATAAGCCATTTAAGATTACAAATTAAATTAAAATTTAATGGTCTGGCTTAAACTGTAAATTATAACTCTTTTTTACAATCTTTAAAGAAAGATACAAATTTTATATAGCATAGTAATACTTATCACAGTCAATTTCAGCTAGCAATGATAGTGAAAACAAAAATCCTAGATGAATTTGATCTGCAAGGAACTCAAAAATCTAATTTTAAGTGTTACTTTCCCATTCTCATTTTATTAAATAATTTATCAAATTCATTGTTTGACCACTTTCAACTCATGGTGGACAGTAATGTATTGACTATTCTCACTTCTCTCATATCATGCACACATTTGTATCAGAGTCCAATCAGGAAAGATAAAACACAATATTTTAAGCAGGAAAAACAGGAAAAGAGTAAAAAATCATTTTCTCAATCAGTGCCTTTCTTTCATGATTTGCTTACAAAGTTTAAAACTATTTGTTGGTAAAACAAAAACTGTTAAAGGACCCAGATCAATTTTCATACTGCAAGATAAAAGGGTGGATTTGTTACTGAGAGTCAGTAAATGTATAACCAGCAGAACATTGTACTGAGAGTAGGATATAATTTATTTAAAATTTTAGATATTGCCAAGATCCTACCTTGGGAAGTCAGATATTATAAAGTAGTAGTTAGAAGCATCCTGCTATGTCAACGAGCATGCTTATTGCTTAATTCCAGTGCTAGTACAAAAACAAACAAACAAAAATTTATTTCACTGGTTGTAAGTTTCTGCAAATGCAAGTTGAAAGAAATTTACCATTTTACTTGCATTGACTATATTAGCAACTGGTTGTTGGGAAAGTGTTGTATTTAAACTTACTATTTCATGTAAACACAATTAACCATTTAAAATGAATAAATCATTTTGTAATATAGTCACTAACAAAAAAGAAATTTTACAGTCAAGGAGAGGCTCAGTAGTTCATAATTTTTACCAGATTCTAATTGGCCAACTTATCTTAGTTGATTAATAAATCTGATTCTCAGTGAAGTTCTCCATAATTTCCATAGTTTCTCAATAAAGAAAAGGGCAAAATAGATTGGAGAACATAAGTCATGTTAATTATTATTAAGAATTTTCTCAAGAGTAATATGTCTAGACATGCTCAAGAAGAGGATTTGTTTGGCATAAAATTAGCATCCAATTCATCAGCATTTATTGTTCTCCATTGGGTCTAAGGTAGGTGTGTGTGTGTGTGTGTGTGTGTGTGTGTGTGTGTGTGCGTGTGTGTGTGAAGCTTTGTAAAGCATTTTAATTAAAGTAAGTATAGATTCAATTAGAATAAGCATAAATTAATTGCTTTTAAAGATCAATGCTGTTAGACAAAGAAGTGTTTTTCTGATTACTGAAAAATGGTGAAGACTCTGAAACTAACAAAAAATTCTTGAATTACTTCAGATCATTGAAATATATTTAACAGAAATAGCTTTTTTGTGTGGAGTTATTTTAATTATACTTTAACCTTTTAATTATAATTTCAAGTGGACTGGGCATTATCAAATACCGTATTTGAATAATAAGGTTAAAAATTATGCTATGATATAATATCTCCAAGAAAAACAACAACCTTTTTGTAGACCAAAATAGTGTGCCATTGAATGAAAATATATGAATTAAATAACTGAAAGCATAATTTCCATGAGTGGCAAATCCATTTTCTTTTAAGGTAATTGTTTCTGTTAGTAGAGAAGAATGAAAATGTATAACCTCTGAACACTTGGTAAAACATATAAGTCATACAAAATCCCTCTGTCTACAAGTTACTGCTAAAATAATATAAAGAAAATTGAGTTATGTTGACTTTCTTCTGTATTACTATATTGTCTTCCTTTTAAAAAAGAAAAGGTTAGGGCATGAAAATAGTAACTCCCATTTTAACGTTGTTCTGGGTAAGTGGAATGTGTCAATGGTGTTTTTTATTTCAAATATTTTTATAGAGCATATCTAATATTTTGCTGTAATTTCTCTCCATTTTTAATTTAACTTAATTTCTCTCTCTATGTCTTCCTCTCTCTGTATCTTTTCTCTAAAGCTTCTCCATGGGTTGATAACAGCAGAACTCCAAACAAGATTGACCTTTACGATGTACGCAGAAGACCATGGTAAGAATTATAGGTAATCGTGAAAAGATGACAGAGATAAAAGGTTACATGTTTTTTTTAAAAAGCTGTAGGGAGTCTTTCCATTATTAGGATGAATATTTTCTAACTATTTAAAGAACTCTGGTATTTTAAAAACATTTTAATAAATACATACAGTTAGAGGTCAATGAAGATGATGAGTTCAAGTGGGAACAATAATATTGTTGAAATTATTTATTAAATTCATTTCAAATCGACTGCTTTAAGTTGTATACTCAATTTCATCTCCCAAGCACTTTTAGCTTGTGGAGATTTCTGTTGAAAGGAATGCCCCCCTTACCCCA